ATTCACACTTTTCATGCATGTAAACAGTAGCGCAGCAAACTGGCGACATGCGCCCACTCAAAACTCAGAGATATGGCATGCAGATACAAGTTCACTTTCAATTGGCTATGGCGACTCAACGCCCAAACAACTCACTGTTCACATACACCGGATTACCCTGGATACCCCACACGCGACTTTTTGAACTCTCACACACACACACTTGCTACACACTAACTCTAGCTATGGCGGCTATGGCCGCATCTACCCTATTTCTATGCTACGCTCCTTCTCTCTCGCCCACTTCAGCTCCGGGCTCACTGCAGACCTCCTTGCACAAGTCACTGTGGCAGCGCTTCCGCATGGCTCACGCAGGAATGAATGAATGGCTGAGCGCTGCCTCTTGATTTATACTGCCCTTTGCCATCGGCCCATGGTGCTCACAGTCCTTGTGGTACTTGCTGAACCGGACTGGGACTGACTGGACCTTACCGCTGACTGAGTGGGGACCCACTGCTAACCTACCGAGGTCGTACTGCAATTGCACTCCAGTTAGTCCACCACTTGACTCACCACTTGCCCACTTGCCCACTTGCCCACTTGCTGACCTTCTAGAAGGGCTACAGCTAGGACTTCTGGAACTCGCTAAGACTTTTATTCTACAGGTCTACAGATCGAACCCCTGCTACCTACGGACCTATGACAACCTACCAACTGTTTACGAAGACACAGGTCACAGGTTCAACTCTCGGGGTCTACACAGGTAGGGCAAGGTCTAGGGATGGAACCCTGGGATCTGCGTCTGCTACTGCAAAGAGGTGAAAACCGTTTCACTCCCGCCGTCCTAAATTCGAGGTCCTCCGAGACTATTTCAGTCCAAGGCAGGACCTTTACCCTTCTTATCACGCTCATAGGCTCTGACTATGTCGGGAGTTGTTTCTAAAAGTTCTATTATAGTAAACCAGCGGTCGTCTTCCAGTTCCTGATAAGCAAACCGGACCTTATACTGTTTCTGTGGACGACTTCTACCTCCTGTCCTGAACACATCTTCATCTACAATGCCTTCAATGTCATATCTTCCATCCATATCCGGCGGGATCATGGATCTTCTTGAGGGGAACTGTTGGCTTGTGACACACGGCAACAACTTTGAGGCATGGAATACAGGATAAGTGTGGAGGTGTGCTGGAATCTCTATTGTGTAGGTCGGCCCATCCTCTCTGCCCTTGACTTCTAGAACCGGCCACGGTCCTCTATATGCAGGTAGTAACTTCTGTGAGATGTTTTCCTCAGGAGCAAATTCTTTGGACTTGACCCAGACTAAGTCACCTACTTGAAACTGCGAGGGGCGACGGTGCTTATTAGCCTTTCTATCATTCTGTGTTGGGCCTTCCTGAGGTTTTCAACAACGGTAGCCAATTCTCTCTCGTGCTGTATCGCAAACTCCCTGGTACCGGGCGGTAACCTGTGAACCTGATCCCCGTTCAGTCCTTCGAATGGTCTGCGCGGTCTAAAGGACTTGTGCAGCTCATTGGGAGTGCGACAGGTGGACAGATGCACGTTGTTATTGTATGCGCTAGCTACCTTAGGTAACATCTCATCCCAGTTGATGTGGTCGGGTCTAATGTACATGCGCAGAACTTGTTGTAGGATCTTATTCATTTGCTCGGTCTGACCGTTGGTCTCTGGGTAGCGGCCAGACGACATCACCAACTTAGATCCGTAAACTCCCATGAGTTCTTGCCAGTTCTGGCTGGTAAAGCGACTATGTCGATCGCTAACTATTGACAACGGGACTCCATTCTCACTAACCCAAAAATCAAAGAACTTTCGTATGACTTAATATGTGCGTGCCTCTGCATGCACGGGAAACAAAACAGCATACTTGCTAAATCGGTCAACTATGACCATGACTTGGCTCTGGCCGTGTCTACTCTTAACACCGACATCCATAAAATCAATGGAGACCGAGTCTCCCGGCTGGTCTGGAATAGGCAAGGGTCTGAGAAGACCTAGAGTGGTGCACGTAGTGGTCTTGTTTCTCTGGCAAACTTTGCAACTGCGAACATACTCTATACAGTCATCCGTGGCCAGGTGTACGCACGCATGAGATTGGCTAAAGTCTTCTGCCAACCGAAGTATCCCTCTGTGTCGTGGCATTCCCCTAGGATTAGACTACGGATCTCCTCACTGTTGGGGATGCACATGCGGTCTACTATATAAGTCTTCTCAAACAATAGTCCCTCAGTAGCGCGGTAGTCTGGTTCGGTCTCTGGGGCCTCCTTAACTCTCTTGAGGAGGTCACTATAGATAGGGTCCTGCACATACGCCTGTCTGACTTTCTCTTGCAGGTCCTTCCCTATATCTAGATAGTGTACTATAGCTCCAAAGTAGTCTGATCTCCTACTTAGAGCATCCGCAACTACGTTGTACTTGCCTTTGACCGGTTTGAGCTCAAAGTCATATTGGTCTATCTCAGCGGCCCACCTAGTCAACTTAGGTGTCATCTTGGCCTGGGTCTTTAACCATTTAAGAGTTTCGTGGTCTGAGTATACTTTGAAGTGCCTCCCAAGCAGATAATGCTTCCAGTGCTCTAAAGCCTGCCTGAGAACGTAGAGTTCCCTCTCGTACGTCGAGGTGGCAACCTTCTCTGAGGGCATCCTCGCTGACATGAACTCTACGGGTCTGTAGCCATTGTCGTCGTCTTGCTGCAACACAGCGCCTATACCATACTGACTCGCGTCCGTGGTGACGACAAATGGCAAAGACGGATCAGCTACTTTGAGGACAGGGTATTCTATTAACGCGCGCTTTAACTTCCTTAGCGCAGACGTACAGTCTTTGTCCCATTGCCAGATTGCCTCTTTCTTTAGCAACCTGCGCAAGGGAGCGGCGATAGTGGAGAAGTTCCTCACAAACTTCCTATAGTAGTTAGCTAGGCCTAAGAACGACCGCAACTCTGTCAATGTGCGGGGCGTCGGCCAATCTCTGATTGTCGCTATCTTGCTGTCCTCTGGTTAATGCCATCTCCGTCTAATACGTGGCCCAAGTATAGGACTTGTGTCTTGGCCCACTCGCACTTCTTTGCGTTGATCTTGAAGTTAGCCTGTCGTAGCTTCTCCAGGACCTGCCTCAAATGACCCTGATGCTCTTGGAGGGTCCTGCTGAAAACTAAGATATCGTCTAGATAAACTACTACAAACTTGTCTAACCAAGGTCTAAACAGATCATTCATACAACGCTGAAAAGTGGCTGGCGCGTTGGTCAGTCCGAAGGGCATCACTATAAACTCGTAGTGCCCATATCTAGTCCGGAACGCAGTCTTATAGTGGTCATCAGTATGGAGCTCTATCTGATGATATCCGGACTTCAAATTTATCTTAGAGAAATACTTACAACCCTGCACCCGATCTAGAAGATCGTCTATCCTGGGCAACGGTTCAGCATTCTTCACAGTAATCGCATTCAAACCCCTATAGTCTATACACATACGAAGCTCTCCTTCCTTCTTGGGGACAAACATGACTTGTGCTCCAAAAGGAGACGAACTGGGCCTGATCCAACCTTTCTCGAGGAGCTCGTCTAACTGCTTGCGTAGCTGCTCTAACTCTCTGGGGGACATCCTGTAAACTGCTCCCTTAGGAGTCCTACTGCCAGGCTCTATCTCTATCCTATGCTGGATGGGTCGCGACACTACTCCTGTCGGCGACTCAGTCAAATCTTTGAATTCCTCCAGCAGCTTGGCAATGGTTGGGTATGTGGAACTATCTCCTTCCTTAGCCTCAGTGATAGGCCTCACATACACTACGAAGACCTGCTCCTCTAACTGCCCCTTTTTCACTAGTCGCGCGAACGCGGGAGCACTGAGACAACAATGTGCCAAGGTGTTATCTACATCGGACACATGAAACAGGCGGGCAGTCTTAACCTTGCCTGACGGAATAAGGAGCCTACACTCATGCTCTCTCAAGTGGAGTGTGGCCCTTGCTGCCTCTCCGCAATCCATTCCTAACACTATGTCGAAAGGAAGGTCATCCTGAACGAGGAGAGTCAGGGAATGGAGAACTTTCTCCACCTTCCCATCTTTCTCTAGGCGAAAGCACGCCTAGACTCCCTCTATGTAGTCCTCAACTCGCATCGTACGGTTGTCTGCGAGGACACTGACTATGGGGTCTGCCAACTTTTGGACTCTTAATCCTAGCCTCAGCTTCTTCAGCGTCCTACGGCTAATGTAACTGCGGGTAGCCCCTGAGTCTATAAGGGCCCCTACTCTGCTTCTAAACACTTCTACATCTACCAAGATCAGTTGTCCCTTACTCTCCTTCTTCATTTTGGCCCAGGTTGGCATCCTCTCCTTCAGCTCTTGTGCCACACCTGTGAGGGACGTGCCTAGAGAAACGCTAACACAAGCAGTCTCTGGACAGCTAGCTAGGCATGGGCCTGCAACCTCTGCCATAGGCTCATGTGGTTTGGGAGTTTCCTATGTGCGCGCGCTCGCTTCCCCACATGGCCTTAAAGTAGGGGCAGTTGCGACCCCTACTGGCGGCTGCCTTTTAACTGTTGAGCAGCCCATCGGGCCTGTCTGTATTGAGGACAAATTTTAATTACGTGGGCCGGGTCACCACAAAACACGCACTAACCCGAGTTCACGCGTTCCTGCCATACGCGCTGGTCCAAGCCCAAGTCTTCCCAGGGCCTGCCCTGTGGCAAGCCTGGGTGCCATCCTCCATGAGGTGGCCTTCCACCTCGTCGTTGTGGGGACCGACAAGAACCTTTACGATTTGGCGGGGAACCTTGACCCCTACCTCCCACTTGGCGGTTCCCTTGTCCGCCAACCCCCTGTGCGCCCGGTCCTTGGCCTCCCATGGCCTGGCCCCTTTGGCCCTGGCCTCCTCCTCTACCTTGCGGCCTCCCTCCAGCCGCGACAGCAGCATAGGACCTCCCCTGCCCCACACTACTGTCCTCCTCCTCAAGGCCCCATTTGATCTGACTATATGGGACCTCATCTGTACCACCCTCCTCTAAGGTAAGGATTATGTGATCCTTGGCCCTGACCTGGCCAGAGATGGTACGACCTTTCCACTTTTTGCCCTTGTCTAAGTCCTTATGCTAGAAAGTGGAAACTGGCATGGACTTGGCCTCAAACAACACCACCTCTCTACTGAGCGCATCGTACGTCATGGTGGGCTGTTGGGACTTGTCAAAGAAGTGCCCATGCAGGGGCTCTGGCATGGCACGATAAAATAGCTGGACCAACTGGGACTCAGTCACCCCATGGTCCGAGACGGCCACCAGGTCGTCCATCACGGCCTTGAGCGCCTTTGCACTCCTCCACTGCCGTGAGTGGATGGTGTGGAGCTTGTCAGAGCCTCTAACGCCTCTGCGAAGATCAGCGAATCGCTCCCTAAGGAGCTTGAAGAATTGAGGGAGAGGGGTAACCTTGGAATAGCCGACCATGTTGTTTTCACAACCGGCCGCGCGCGCGAGGAACCTAGCAAAACTAGCCGCTTCGTCCTTGAGGGCCTGGAAGGCAACCAAGACCTGATCATCCTGTACGATGTGCTGTAAGTAAACGTAACTGTTTACGCTAGCCGCCCAGTTATCGAAGTTTTCATCAGATTTCCCGCCATAGGCATCGGGAAACTTGAGTTTGACTGGTTCCTTGCGGGGTCTCACCTCGCTCTCAACAGCGGCTACTACTTTGGCGCCCTCAATGGCACCCTCACAGACCTTCCCCATGTTGTCTCTCAACCGCCCGACTTCCCCTCCAACGTGGGTAACCATCTCGCGCGCAAAATCCAGAAAACCGGACCGCATGGCCTTCAGGGCTACCTCTTGAGCTCTATTGGCATGGCGTTCCTCCATCCAAGCTGCGCTCAACACCTCCAAGTACCCCAACACCTGATCCATTTTGGCTGAGGCGTCTGCCTGAGCCTGCACCTCCTGCCTACAATCTTTTACCTTCGCCACCTCTGGGGTCAACCTATTAACTTCATCCCTCCTTCTCTTATTTTCCCTCTTCATTCTCAATTTCCACTCCAACTTTTTCTCCTCCTCTCTTTCTTGTCTTTCCAAGGGGTCCTCCATTGCTTCTAGCTCCTGGGCTAACGCATCCCTCTCGTCCTGGGGCACATAGAACTCTGCCGCCTCATCCTCCCCCAACGATAAGTTAGCTATCCACTCGCTTCTCCATCTCTGCGTCTTCATCCTTCTTCGTGCCCCTACTCTCCTCTCTACTTTCAATACATTTCCTCTCTTTTTCTTCTTTTGATGCTGCTTCCTCTTCGGCAGCCTTTCTCCTCTCTTCCTCCTCCTGCTGAACTCTCTTCATCTTCTCCTCCAGTTTCTTCATCTTCGCCACCTGCTCCTTTGCGATTGCCTTCAGCTTCACCTGCTTCAAGAGCTCTTTCCTCTTCTTGTTTTCTCTCACTAAGGCGGCCATCTTCTCTTGTTGCTCCTGGGTATAGGGGCTAATACTCGTCCCACTACTGGTCTCAACCATGGTGATCAGTGCACAACCAAATTGACGGTTCCAAACCTCACCACGTGGACTCTAACCCCTGAGCGACAAACCTATTGACTCAATCTAAAGACTCACATAATCCGGACAGGGATCCTGCCAACTAGGGTCTCTAGCCTAGACCTACACTATGGCTGTCACTACTAGACCTGTTGCTGATCAGGAGGCATTTAAGGAGATCCCCCGTAACTCCTGAAGAATTATTTAACGTCGCAGACAGGACGACGCGATCAGCAGGTCTCTCAACACTTAGACGGCCTGTTGTGCAGCCCACAACTCGGATTTTGGGCCTACCTTGCCACACCGAGCAGCCCGCCAATCAGTACCGGTCCTTGGGAGGGTTCGTGTCCTCCGGGACAGTCGAGTCGTCAGACACAGTCTTTAGCCCTACTCAGCCCGTGTGGGTTTGGTCAACAAGGCCCTATCCTTCATCCACAGAGTACTATCACCTAGACAGAAGAGACTCAATGCAAAAAGAAGCGACAGACAGACTGGACTCAGCAAGTACCACAGGGTGTGTGCACATCCATAGGGATAGGCTAAAGGCTTGGCGAGATTTTACCGGTTCCAGCTTGGTCAAAGTCTTGGTCAACGCCTTGGTCAACGCCGGTAAACGCTGCGGTCAACCCTCGGTCAACCCCCGGTCAACTCCGATCAACGTCGGCCAACACCTCCGGTCAACTCTCCCGGTCAACCCTTCGGTCAGCTATGGCTGCTGGCTTCTCTTTCCCTCACCAACCTTCTTCTTCCCTTCACCTTCCTCGCCTCCTTTCACCCTGCT